AACAATGAATCATGGAACACTTCATCTAAAACTAATGATGTAATGTATGGGGATTAACATAAGAATAAAAAAAAATTAAAAAAAAAAACAAAAAACTATGACCTACAGTAAATATATTTTGCATTGTAATTCAATTCACACACACACACCCATATACATAGATAACTAAAACAAGTTTCATGAGTAGTGCTTGCCCTTAGTACATGTAATACACAGTGGTATCTTCCGTTCTATTCTATTTTATTCTATTTTTTAAGGTACTGATCATGATTCAGTTGATTTTTTTTTTTTAAAGATTTTATTTATTTATTTGAGAGAGAGAGAATGAGAGACAGAGAGCACATGAGAGGGAGGAGGGTCAGAGGGAGTAGCAGACTCCCTGCCGAGCAGGGAGCCCGATGCGGGACTCGATCCAGTGACTCCAGGATCATGACCTGAGCCGAAGGCAGTCACTTAACCAACTGAGCCACCCAGGCGCCCGATTCAGTTGATTTTTTGAAGCTCAAAAGCGTCAGTGTTGAAAAAGGCTGAGCCAGTTTGAGTTCTTTTATGTAAGGGAGCATATTTGATCTATTTTGTATTGCTCCTGGCTAGCACAGTGCCTAGTACAAAGGAGTATTTGCTAAACACTTACCTTAGGCCGGGGTTTTCCTTGAGGGCAGGAATCTTATCTTAGTTACTTTGTATCCATCCCACATTTAGCATAATTCTTCCCACAACACTTAGAGATCAAATGAGTAAAATCCTGGCCTATTGCCAGGCTTTAGAGATAAAGTATTTGGACCACTCAGTATCTGACTAGCACCTACTATGTGTTACTACATAAATGCTGAATGCATGACTCTTCCCTTAATTATCTTAAAAGCAGTCTGGGATTGCTAAAAGGGAACCATGAATCATGTTGCCAAATTGAGAAATTAAAGAAAAGAGTAAGACATGGAGGCCAAATGTCACCTTTATTAATAATAAAGACTAGGTCAGAGAACATATAATAATGTGAGAGCCAGTCAGGCCTACTAATTAAACCCTAAGTTGAGGCAATGCTGAACTAGGGGGGACCTCCCTAGGCTGAAAGCCTACACAGACAAGAGGCTTAAGGCAGCTCACACCCAAGAGGAATGTGGGAGGAGACAAGCTCAGCAAACCCACTTTATTTTTCCTAAATGCACTAATTAGGTAAGTCACTCCTCCCCAGACCAAGGACAGAGGGAATAAAGGAGCACAGAGAGACTAGACATATTATTACCAATTGAGTTTCCTCCCTTATGGAACGAAAGAGCAGGGGAGGAGTAAGTGTTCTCCTCTAAGAATCAGAATATGTATGTGTGTGTGTGTGTGTATATATATGAAATATATATATGAAATATACATGTGAAATATTAAATAATAGGGGCGCCTGGGTGGCTCAGCTGGTTAAGCGACTGCCTTCGGCTCAGGTCATGATCCTGGAGTCCTGGGATCAAGTCCTGCATTGGGCTCCCTGCTCAGCAGGGAGTCTGCTTCTCCCTCTGACCCTCCCCCCTCTCATGTGCTCTCTCTCTCTCAAATAAATAAAATCTTTAAAAATATATATATATGCATGAAATACTAAATAACAACATAAAACAATTCAAGGAATATTATAAGATAGGTGCCTAATTAATTTATAAATATAGTTTGCACTAGTGCTTCTCAATGCTGACTGTTCATCAAAACCTAGAGGGTATTAAACAGTTACAGACCCTCTATATCCCCCTGCCCACCTTTCATATGCCTGGCATGAAACCTGAGAATCTGCTTTTAAAGCTTCCCATGTACAGGTAAGACTGAGAACCATTGGCTTAGAGGAGCTGGACAGACCAGTGAAGAAGAAATCAGGAGGTCTTACTGAGGAGGAAATTGGAGAGACATTGAAAGATAAGTAGGCTTGAGGTCAGAAAGGAGGGGGGTAGAGCATTTTATACAGGGATGAGAACAGTAAGTAGACTCCAGAAATTACCATAGCTCAAGAGTAACTTCAAAACCTTATCCTTGAAAATCCTTACAGAATTTATCCTTGGAAACATGATCTGTGCTAATACAGCAAATGATGAGACATAAGGCAGCACGGTTCAGTGGAAAAGCCCTTGGACTTTTGAGAGCTAAAAGACTTTGGTTCTTGGTTGTGGGACTTCACCACAGTCACTACATCCTTTACCTGGACAGCTAAAGATCGTTGTAAAGAGAGAAGTTCATAAAGCATTCTAGGGAGATGGTTGCATCGTCTTCCCCGTTTCAAGATAGGGCACAGCCTTCACCTAGAAGCTCAGGCTACAAACCTGGGAGTCATTTTTGATTTCTTTTCCTCACCTGTTTTCACATCTAGTCTATCAGCTAATCCTGATATGATTCTCCTTCCAGAACATATCCTATATCTTTCCATTTGTCACTACTCCATTGATTACTACCTGAATCCAATATACCTTTTCTTTTCTTTTTTTCCGAGATTACCCCAGTTTTGGATTCAGTAGGTCTGGGGTAGGTCCTGAGAACTTGCATTTCCAACAAGTTCCCAGGTGATCCTAATGCTGCTGGTCCAGAGACCATTCGACGAGAACCACTGCTTTATCTTTTTTAAAAGCTTGGGAGCTTTTAAAAAGTACTGTGCTTGGGATTACTTCTAGAGATTCTGAGTCATTTTGTCTGGCCATTTGTAATTTTTAAATCTCCCTAGTGATTCGAAATGTTGAGAAATTCTACCAAGGCATAGCGGAATGGCTGTTTGTTTGCTCCTTGTGCCTTTTGTTCTAGCTGCTCCTGTTCCCTGGGACACTCTTTCTTTAGGTATTTCCATGGCTGTATCCTTCAGGTCTCAGATTGTCACTTAGTCAGATAGGCCTTCTCTGATCCCCCCCCAAGCTAAAATAACACCCCTATCTTTATCATGCTCTCCTGCTTGTTTTCATTATAGGAATTAGCGGTTGGAGATTTCCCTATTTATGCTTATCGTATCTTCCGATATAAGCACCTTGAGCATAAACACCTTTGTCTCATTCACTGCTGTATCCCCAGCTTTTACAATAGTGTCTGCCATCTATTATATATTCAATACATGGGAATGGAAGGGAAGATAAAAAGCTTTAAAATAAATTCGTCCAGTTCTTGTGTTATTTTCAACTATTCAATTGGGCTTTAATAAAATGTGTTTTATTTATGCAAAATAATTTTTTTGATTTTTGATTGATTTTTTTTGATCAACAAATCATAACTGCACTGGATTCATTCTCTTAATAGGAGCCCTGTATTAAATCTTCTGCAAAGTCATTATCCCTTAATGTATTTTCATATGCAGTATTTGCTCATAATACTGTGCTTAGGGAATAAAATTGACAGTGGGGCAGCTGGGTTATGGCCAAGATATATTTGTTAAATCAAGAGATTTCTGCTCAGATTTTGTTGGCTTGTTTTTGGAGACAGAGAACAGAGGAACGGAATTTGTAGAAGAAGAGAAAGGTATTGCAGGGCGCAACAGAGTCACAGGAGAACGGGAAGGCTATTTCTGGTACCTTCAAAAGTGGGCTACATACACATTTATCCTCTCTTCTGGGGGCACATCTTTAACGAATGAATCGAATCTGACAGAATTGAAGAGTTTTGATTGCAGGTAGAGATAGAGTACTTGAGATTATTAAAATTGTCTTGTTTCACAGTGATTTGTTCAAGCCAGTGCGGCAAAATCTTCAGCTTTGGGTCATGTGTCGCTTGGTTTCAAGAAGTCCCTGAATTAAATTTACAAGTCGGGTAAATTAAGGGCTAAGCAGATGTACTTAAGTCCTTCGCGGACCATTTCTTAAATACATTACTCACGAAAACACAGACCAACATCTGTTACAGGAGGAAAAGGGAGATTTCGTGCCTCTGGCTCGCCTGTTTGGCACGGACGTGAGCATTTCCTCAAAATCCCAAGTACCTAACGTGTACCCCCAGCAATAGGGCTAGGTTCACATGCAACCAGTTTTCCAGGCAGCTGCCTTCCCTTTCTTCCCTCTTCGTGCTTCGTCGATCGTGGAACAAAACGATTTCATGTGTGGGATAATGGTTGCCATCACTCTGGCGCTTTCGCACAATGCAGCACAGGCAGCCAACTACGCGGGTTCAGAGAACACCAACCCGCGGTCGGTAGACAGAGGTTGTGGCTCCAGAAACACCAAAAGCAGAGGGAGTGCGAAGCAAAGCGACCAAGTTAGCGGTGCATTGTGGGAATTGTAGTCCCTGCAGGGCAGCCTTCAAAGGCCTTCACTGGGCTCTGCACTCCATCTCCCAGCCGGACCCGCGCCGCGGAGGCGGAGAGCGGTGGGCGTGCTCGGTGCTGAGTTTCTGCTGGGGGTGGGGACTAGGGTCGAGAAGCTGCTGTGGTCGCTGCCGGGAGACGTTAGCCGCTGTCCTTGCGGGCCGAGGGACCACCCCCCACCGGACATCCCACCCCCATCCCCCCGGGCGGACGGCGACGAGGTCCGTGTGGCCGCCGCGCGTCCCTGTGCTCGCCCTCTCTCCTGTCCACGGGCGCGCGGCGTCCGCCATGGAAGCACATCCGGCTGTCGCCGGGGTCTCAGGGCGCCGCGTCCCCGGCTCCCCGGAGCGATGAGGGGGTAGGGGCGCCCTGCGTCGCGCCTTGCCGCGCGCTCCGCGGGTCGGGGAGCAAAGGAGGGTCCG